ATTGCCTCTCAGATATATAACCAGTGACATCAATGGTCTTTTTTGGTCCAGTTGTCTTTTTATTATTTCCAATGGCCAAAAATATAAGCTGCATTCTCCCCAGTGACCACCACGCTAATATAAACAGCTCTACATTGCACCCTCACTTCTTCCTTCCCCCCTCTACGGCTCTCACCACCTCCTCCTGATACTCCACTCCCCCGCCGACCAACACGCCACCACCAACAGACCCACATGCTCCTGCACATCCCGTTCCCATGCCACCTTCCTCACCCTCCTCCTTCTCCTAACCGCCGGAGACATCTCCCCGAACCCTGGCCCCCCATCTCCCCACTCCTCCTCTCGGCACCCCCCTACTCCTGCCAGCCACCACCCCCTCAACCTCGTATCTGTCCCCCTCCTCCCCGCATCCACCCCTCTCCTCTCTCAGTTGCACTCCTGAACGCCCGCCGCTCGGTTTGCAACAAGCTCACCGCCATCCATGACCTCTTTGTCTCCAACTCCCTCAACCTCCTAGCGGTCACTGAAACCTGGATCCAAGCCACTGACTCCACCTCCCCTGCAGCCCTCTCCTATGGAGGCCTCGTCTGGACCCACTCACCCAGACCAAGTGGCCGCAGAGGCGGTGGGGTCGGTATGCTCCTGCCGCCACTGAGCACCTTACAGGTCCTCCCTAACCCCCCCTCCCTTCCTTTTCTTCCTTCGAGGCCCACTGCGTCCAGCTCTTCTCTCCACCCCCCTGAGGATTGCGGTAATCTATCGGCCTCCTGGTTCCGCACCCCCCTTCCTTGACGACTTTGCCGCCTGGCTTCCCTTCTTCCTCTACTCCAAGCTACCGACCATCATCCTAGGTGACTTTTATATCCCCATCAATGCCAACAGCCCAGCTACTTCCCAACTCCTCCTCCTAACCTCCTCCTTCGCGCTCACACAGCACACACAGTCCTCCACCACACCAATGGAAACACCCTGGACCTCGTTTTCTCCCACCTCTGCACCCCCCCACGACTTCACTAACACCCGCTTCCCCCTCACTGACCACCACCTCATCACATTCTCCATCTCCCCCTCCCTTAACTCCCCCCCCCCAAAGCATCTAACCATCACCCGCAACCTCCACAATCTGAACCCGACCCATCTCCACCCGGCAGCTGACCGTCTGTATGACAGTATCCTCCCCTGTCTGTCCCTGACCTGGCCACTACTGCGTACAACGACTCACTGTCGGCTGCCCTCGACTCGCTGGCACCCCTAACCACGCGTAAACACCAGACCCCGACCGCTTCAACCCTGGCAAAACGACCGTACAAAAAGTCTCAAATGACGCTGGAGTGCTTATGGTGCAAAACCAGATCCCCTCGCGCATTCTCCCTCTACAGAGCCGCCTTCCTCACCTACACCAGCTCCCTCCACGCCGCAAGCAAGCCTATTTCGTAACCCTTATCAACACCCTCTCCACCTGTCCTCATCGGCTCTTCTCCAATTTCAAATCCTTGCTGTCTCCCCCCCCCCCCCCCCTCCACTCAGCAACTCACTCACCGCCCACGAGATTGCCAATCATTTCCAAAACAAGATTGACGCAATCCGGAAGGACATTGTCAACTCACAATCTACCTCTCCACCCAGCCTCCCGCCCTCCTACAACCCCTCTACTCTCCCCTCCTCCAATCTCATAGGCGCACTACCCCCCGCTAAGCCTAACCCCCCACACACTATCACCTCCCCAACACTCCGCTCCTTCAGCCCAACTACCCCTGAGGAGGTCTCTAAGGTCTTCACTGAAGCCCGCCTCACCACCTGCCCCCTGGACCCTATCCCCTCACAGCTCCTCCAGTCACCCCCCCCCCTTTCATCATTCGCTCCCTCACCCACATCTTCAATCTCTCCCTCTCCACTGGCACTTTCCCCTCTAAAGCACGCGCACATCACCCCATACTCAAAAAACCCTCCCTTGACCCCACTGACCTTGAGAAACTTAGACCCATCTCCCTGCTGCCATTCACTTCCAAGCTCCTTGAGCCCTGGCCTACAATCGCCTAAGTGCCCACCTCACTGATAACAACCTCCTTGACCCCCTACAGTCTGGCTTCCGACCCTGCACTCCACCGAAACCGCCCTATTTAAAATCACCAATGACCTACTAACCGCCAAAGCTAATGGCCACTATTCTGTCCTCCTGCTCCTTGACCTCTCCGCGGCCTTCGACACTGTCGACCACCCTCTCCTCCTTACTAAACTGCACTCCCTTGACATCAGGGACGCTGCTCTCTTCTGGTTCTCCTCCCACCTTTCCCAACGCTCCTTCAGCGTCAACTATAACACTGCCACCTCCCCCTCCCTCCTCCTCTCTGTCGCAGTCCCCCCAAGGCTCTGTCTAGGACCCCTCCTCTTCTCCATCTACACCTCCTCCCTTGGCAAACTAATACACTCCCACGGCTTCAATTACCATCTCTATGCTGACAACACACAAATTTAACCTCTCCACCCTCCACCTCACCCCCTCACTCTCCGCCCGCATCGCCCACCTCCTGAATGACATATCAGACTGGATGTCGCTCCATTTCCTCAAACTTAACCTGTCCAAAACAGAGCTCCTGGTCTCTCCCCCCGCCCCCCCCCCCCCCATCCTCTCCATCACTACTAACAATGCCACCATCACTCCCACCCCACTTGCCAAAGTCCTGGGTGTCACCCTGGACTCACACCTCTCCTTCCTACCCCACGTCCAATTGCTATCAAGATCATGCAGGCTCCCCCTCCGCAACATCTCAAGATACGTACATTCCTCACCCCAGACACTACTAAACAACTCGTACACTCCCTCATCATCTCACGCCTGGACTATTGCAACTCCCTTCTCACTGGCCTACCCAAACGAACGCTATACCCCATTCCAGTCGATCCTGAACTCAGCAGCGAGACTCATCCACCTCACCAACCGCTCCACATCCGCCACCCCCCTCTGCCAATCCCTTCACTGGCTCCCGATTGCCCAGCACATCAAATTCAAACTGCTAACCCTGACCTAAAAAGCCATCCACAACGCCGCCCAAAACTACCTAACCGACCTGATAAACAAATACTACCCTACCCCTGCCCTTCGCTCCTCACAGGACCTCCTACTCTCTAGCTCCCTGGTCTCCTCTTACGACGCCCGATTGCAGGATTTCTCCAGGACTTCCCCCATCCTCTGGAATTCCCTACCCCAATCCATCAGACTGTCACCTACCCTCATCACCTTCAGGCACACCCTGAAGACCCACCTCTTCAGGGAAGCCTACCCCAACCTCACCTAACAGCTGACCTCCTCCACTCCTCCCACCACTTCATTCCCCACAGCCATTTCCTCCTGTACCACTATCCCCTCCCTCCTAGATTGTAAGCTCGAAAGAGCAGGGCCCTCGAACCCCTCGTGTATTGTATTGTTACTGTCTTGTCTCATGTTCTGTCCCCCTTGCTATTGTACAGCGCTGAGCAAACCCTTTGGCGCTATATAAATACTGTATAATAATAATAATAATATTACCAGGGATTTCCTGAGCCTGAAGTTATTTTCAAGGGTTTCTCCATGTTAAAAAGGTTGAGAAAGGCTGAGTTAGAGCAAATTAAATCATGTTTTATAAATAATTTTGCCTACCTCTGCATGAACTGATTGTTTGGGGTTCTGTTTGTTTTATTTAGTTAGTTTTATTTCTTTGTGTCTTTTCGGTGAACTTGATAGACATATGTCTTTTTTTAACCTGACTCTGTAAATGATGTAAAAAGCATTTTCAAGAGGTCAGCAGTTGTAGTCTAAATACTGCATACCCTCAGTACAGGCTTCATTAAAAAAAATTAAGACATTTTATATGCATCTAATTTAAGGCTTCTTGTGGGTGGTTTATGAATTTGTGATGTCATCTGTTCAAGGGAGGGCAGAGTCTTGTGCTAAAAAAATGATGGGTGGAGATCAGTTCTGCACTAACATTGGGGCAACATTTAAGGACAGTTGCCTTAGATATACAGTAAATGTGTATGTTAGTTGGGAATTTTGCACATCTCAGGACTAGATTCTCTGGGCGATTAAAAGTAGCAAGCTTCTGCATAACAATATTGATTTCTGGAAGCATTGAAAGGAAATACAAGTGCATGCATATTATATACCACTTTGTAAGAAACACTAAATGGTAAGCCACACAAGTACGGTGGAAGCAAGAACAAAGCATAAAAATAGTCATAGCAATGCAAGCTGGGTAGTAGTAAGGTTACCACATAGGAAAAGAAAAACAGCAATAGCACCACAACCCAACACCTGATTCAGAAATGTGGTGTTGGAAGCTGGAGGGTAATTGCATTTTTTTTTCAGCTGTCCCAGGTTTTGCAGGTCTGGTCTCAAAAGTGGAGGTAATTGCCAAAAGTAAAAAGACAAAATATCACCAACATAGAAAGTACACAGCAGGATGGACTATGAACTATATACAAAATACAAACTCTTACCAGTATTTATCTCTGCAAAAAACTACTTAAAACCTGGTGGTGGGCCTTATTCACATGATGTTTAGCAGCTCCTGTGTGCTGCAGAGTAAAATCCCCAAAAGTGGCAAACACTGATGCAAAGCAATCTCCATTTATGCGAGCTCTGTGGCCATTTATTTGTATTGGTGGCTGTGTGCGGCATGTAGGGCATGCAGTAGAGTTTCCAACTCATCCCTTTAAAACTGAATACATATTAATTACACAGATTTTGTGGCTGATTAAGGTGGTAATTAACATCTTGCCATCCGCACCAATGATGGGGCACTATTCCTCCCACACTGGCACTAATGATGGGGCACTATTCCTCCCACTGACACCAATGATGGGGCACTATTCCTCCCACTGACACCAATGATGGGGCACTATTCCTCCCACTGACACCAAAGATGGGGTACTATTACTTCCACACTGACACCAATGATGGGGCACTATTCCTCCCTCTGACACCAATGATGGGGCACTATTCCTCCCACACTGACACTAATGATGAGGCACCATCGTTGGTGTCAGTGGGAGGAAGCATGCCTCATCATTGGTGTCAGTGGGAGGAATAGTGCCCCATCATTGGTGTCAGTGTGGAAGTAATAGTACCCCATCTTTGGTGTCACTGGGAGGAATAGTGTTCCATCATTGGTGTTAGTGTGGGAGGAATAGTGCCCCATTAAAAACGCTGAAGAAAAGTATGTAGTAAGTTTTTGCTGCATTTTAAATTGGCAAAAACGCAATGCACGGGCAAACTCATAGATGGTGAAGCCTTAAAACGAACCCGTGTAATTAATAAGTTTTTGTCAGTGGGAGGAATAGTGCCCCATCATTGGTGTCAGTGAGAGGAATAGTGCCCCATTGTTGGTGTCAGTGGGAGGAATAGTGCCCCATCATTGGTGTCAGTGAGAGGAATAGTGCCCCATTGTTGGTGTCAGTGGGAGGAATAGTGCCCCATCATTGGTGTCAGTGGGAGGAATAGTGCCCCATCATTGGTGTCAGTGGGAGGAATAGTGCCCCATCATTGGTGTCAGCGGGAGGATTAGTGCCCCATTGTTGGTGTCAGTGGGAGGAATAGTGTCCCATCATTGGTGTTAGTGTGGGAGGAATAGTGCCCCATTGTTGGTGTCAGTGGGAGGAATAGTGCCCCATCATTGGTGTCAGTGAGAGGAATAGTGCCCCATCATTGGTGTCAGTGAGAGGAATAGTGCCCCACCGTTGTTGCTCTAATAGGAAGAGGTGGAGCCTAAATAGGAAGGGTGGAGTTTACATATAAAGGGCTGGGTCTTAAACAGGAAGGGGTGGGGCAAATTTAGATCGGGGGGTGCCCGATTTTAGTCTTGCCTAGGGCAGCACAAAACCAAAATACATCACTGAGTTGCACCAATCCAAAACTGCAATGTAAGGTCGCAATGGAAATCACACAACTTTGGAGTTACACAAGTGTGAATGGAGGCTTCCTGTGATGTATGCTGCTGGTAGAATTCTTACCTGTCACGGAAGCAGCCTGAGTTCAATTCCAAGCCCAGTGGTGTCGCTATGGGGGTGCAGACTGCACCCGGGTGACACCTCTCTGGTGTTTACTTAGGGAAGGCCAGGATCTCTGGATGAGCTGAGCCGCCATGTTTCGGGCAAAGACTCAGGGTCATAGTGTGTGTGGAGAGGATGGGATGAAGATTTCTGCTGCTTGTGTGCTGGAGATCAGAGAAGATAGCAGAGAGAGCAACAGCAGGTCAGTGTGTGTGCTGTGTACGTCCTCCTCTACCACCAGGGAGAGACATTCATTCCCTACTCCCCCCCCCTTCTGCTGTCACTGAGACATGGGACATTCCAAACCTCCTCCACTGACATCAACCACTACCCCCCCCTCAACATACCAAGATGGTACATTCCATCCATCAACCCCCCCCCCCCCATACTAACATGGTACATTGCATGCCAGGGTGGGGACACACACACACACCATGTTTTACCGCACCAGGTGACACCAACCCTAATGATGTCAATGTCCCAGCCAATGCTTCTATAGCTACAGAGTGAACTCAGCCCCCCCCATTTTTCAAGTGTAGCTGAATGTGTCAAAGCAAATCTTAAAAAGAAAGATAATTTTGAAGGTGGTACAATATTACTGACTTTGAAAGTGTGTGAATGCAAAAACAAAAACTTTAGTAGAAGGGATATACATTTTTTTTTGTAGCACACTATTTATATATATATATATTTTATTTTATTTTACCAAGGGACTTTATTAAGGACTTTATATTTAGTGAAATGTGAGCACTGTGTAGATTATACATTTGCTAATTTTTGTTCTAGGTGTGATACAGTGTGCATATCAGCTTAGGGGGAGGGGATTATAGTGGCGTGGGAACTTATATATTAATTTAATTATTATAAATGTAGCACCCTCCTAGTTCCTAGAGATAGACTCCAAATGGTTAGACAGGGGCTGAGCAGCAGCCCAGGTGTAATAGCCAGAGAGGGGTCAAATTGTGGTCAGGGCTGAGAGGCTCTGCAGGCTAGCCACTCCAGAATTTTACTCTGCTTTAGCTGGAAGGACTTAGAGGCAGTGGGTGGATCTGAGGAGTGACTGGCTGCACGCTTGAGGGGTCCTAGCCAATCCCCGACAAGAGGCTGGCAAGGGGCTGGACACCCTTAACAAGTGTTGGAGCCTGCTCAGTGGCAGGAGTGGGGGACAGGAGAGTCGGGTGGAGGAAGTAGAGAGGAAGATGTGAGGTTGTGAGAGAGAAAGCTGCAAGGAGGCCCGACAGGATGGGGCCCACCTGCGAGCCTGGAGCTGGAAAGGAAGAAAGCTTGGAACGCACTGGCCCCCTGAGAGAGGACAACCTGTATGGTAGGGAAGGAGCAGTCCCACTGATAGGCCTGGTAGCAGCAGCCACCCACAAGCAGTACAGGAGAAGATCTGAGTGAGTACACCTGCACCCCCTGAGCAGATAGGGGAAAGAGCACTCTGGTGGGAAACCAAAATAGCCCCCTACTTGTGACTGATCACTTATTTAAAGGAACAGGAACTGGATCCCCTGCTCAGGGATACCTCCAGATTTCTGGGGTTCTGGGATGGTACACTAAGGAAACAACTAGCTCTCCCGCAGAGACTGTGTTGCAGAAAAGGCTTGTAAATAGTTCAAGGAAGTTGTCCTCAGTTCATCGGTACACTTGGGTCTCCTGCACACCCCAAACCCTATCCCAGTTCAATTTCCCCAAATAAAACAACAAAATCAAAGCTCAAGGACTGATTTCTGACTCTGGATGCAAGCTTTTGTGAAGATGTGTGATGCCTGGCTGTGCAGGACTATAGGGAACCCAAATCTTCTAGCGACTCCTAAGGGGGTAGAGCTTCATAAAAATTACACTTGGGTGCCCCCTCATGAGGTCTAGTCTTCATTTAGTCTTGAGGCATAAAAAAGCGTATTTCTTGTTCCCACAAGGGTTTCCTCCCAGCTAGCTTGGGTATCAAGCTGCTTCTCCTCTGGTCTTCTTCTGAGCTAGCTGTGCATGTGGGGAGATGCAGCATGGTGCGATGGGAGTAATCGCACAGAGTCCAGTTGCTTGTATTGAGGAGTATGATCAACTAAAACCAACCCAAGCGGAAGAGCGTCACTTTGGGTTAAAACTCAGTTCAATGCAGAGAAGCAGCAGGTTAGATGCAACGACAGTGTCTGTCTTCAGATAGAAGAATGTTGCCTGGCCTGGACGGCCCCAATGAGGAGGCTTCTGTAGAAGGATTGGGGTCCCTCGCCTGTCCTATTCATCGGGAACCTTACTCTGCCGCTAACCACTTTTGCTGACAGACAGGTGCTCTTTCCCTACTCTGACCACTTCGCAAAAGTACGCCACAAAACCTGGGGGCAGGGACTTATAAAGACTCTACTGACCCAAGATAGCCAACCAAAACACTGCCTTCAGGGACCAGGCAACCATAGAGAAACCAGGTTTCTCCTGACTTCCTCTCCAGTCTCTGACACCGCTTCAGTTGATCGCTACCTACAGTGGAGAAAGCAGACTGCACCTGCCTATGTTCATGTCTTCCATTTTCCAGAAATGGAGCCTTAAAAATGGAAAAGGAGAAAGAGCTGAACTAAATGAGGTTTAATTACTTAAAGAAAAATTCAAGGTATCGGCATATTTTCATATTAGCTTGGACCAATGTAACTATGTATATGACATACCTGGCTGGTGACACTGGAAACTGGAAATCACTGAAGAAGACAATAATCTCCACTTGCATTGTGAAACCAGGAAGTTGGCCACTTGTCACATGCTCCATTCAGATAATGCTTTCATTTGCTAGATAAATGCAATTGTTCTTTGATTGGACGAGGTGCAGAGACAGGGTGGTGACATCATACTCTCCACTTCATCAGATCAAAGAATGATTTGCATTCATTCAGAAAATGAAAGCATTCTCTGAATGGCACCAGTGCTGAGTGACCAACCTCCTGCATCAACAAGGCTTCGGGCCCAGCAGCTCAGCACAGGACCCATAAGCAAGTTTAGATCACTAGAGTGATTTCAGCTTCCAGCAGTATTGGTCAGGTATGTCATACATACATAGCTACATTGGTCCAAGCTGAACCAATGTAACAATGTATACCACACAGATGCCTAGAATTATTCCTTAAAGTGTATCTAAACCCAAAAACAAACACAATATATTTCAACTTACCAGTCCATAGATGTGGTGTCTGCATTAGTTTTTTCCTTTTTTTAGGCTTTTCCCCCCTTTATTTCCCCCTGGTGATCCTGCCAGTAACATACTCCCTGTCCTAGGGGGGGTAACGTTTACTCACTGTACTGTATCTATGGGTGAGCAGTGTTTTTACCTTAGGATCCTTGCTCCTGATTTGGACTACAGAGCACTTCCCCTTATCTCCATAACATGGGACAGCAGTTTTCTGTAGTTTACAGAGGTGGAGTGGGCAAGGCCGATTACACTACTTGAAATAACAATGCAGGGTGCACGGGACATGATTTGGAGGTCTGGTAGGATCAACAGGTATTTTTTTCCCTTATTGAACATACAGTTGTGTTCAAAATAATAGCAGTGTGTTGAAAAAAGTGAATAAAGCTCAAAATCCTTCTAATAGCTTTTATTTCCATCCACACAAATGCATTGGGAACACGACACATTCTATTCCAAATCACAACATGAAGAATAATAGATCAAATTTGTGTTGTTCCTCTAAAACAATTGAAGAAAAGTGAATATTAGACGGTTCAAAAAAATCGCAGTGTTTGTATTCTTCTTTATAAACTCAAACATTCACTATATAAACTGAAAAATGTTTGAAGATTTTGCTTTCCTTTGAATGACTTCATGAATATTTGGTTGTAGTCGCACTGTTTCTGAGAACTGCTGTACATCTGTGTTGCATGGAGTCACCCAACTTCTGGCACCTGTGATCAGGTATTCCAGCCCAGGATGATTGGACTACATTCCACAGTTCTTCTCTATTTCTTGGTTTTGCCTCAGAAACTGCATTTTTGATGTCACCCCACAAGTTTTCTATTGGATTAAGATCCGGGGATTGGGCTGGCCACTCCATAACGTCAATCTTGTTGGTCTGGAACCAAGATGTTGCACGTTTACTGGTGTGTTTGGGGTCGTTGTCTTGTTGGAACACCCATTTCAAGGGCATTTCCTCTTCAGCATAAGGCAGCATGACCTCTTCAAGTATTCTGATGTATTCAAACTGATCCATGATCCCTGGTATGCGATAAATAGGCCCAACACCGTAGTATGAGAAACATCCCTATATCATGATGCTTGCACCACCATGCTTCACTGTCTTCACAGTGTACTGTGGCTTGAATTCAGTGTTTGGGGGTCGTCTGACAAACTGTCTCCAGCCACTAGACCCAAAAAGAACAATCTTACTTTCATCAGTCCACAAAATGTTCCGCCATTTCTCTTTAGGCCAGTCACTGTGCTCTTTGGCAGATTGTAACCTCTTCAGCACG